ACTAATGAAGAAACCCAAGAAAGTATTTGTTAAAAAAGGACTAAACAGACAAACCATACCATGTTTTTCTGAGCTAATCACTTTGAGCTCTCCATAATAAACAGACCTGAGACTTTATCCGACTGTTGGTCAGAAAGCAAATATGTGTATTTCCCAAAATGAGGAACTACATACTTAAAAGCATCTGGCAAAAATATCAGTGCAGTGCTTTTCAACATGAATGTTGTGCAAAATTTAAAAAGTACAGTACTGTGCAAAAGACTTGATTCCCTTTGTTTCTTTATATTTTCCTTCCAAGGAGCCAGATTTTGTTGTAATTTTAAAGTGATCTTGAGCAATAGTTATCGAGTGTTTCTGGACATTTTTCTTTGGCTGCTTTTTTACCGATTTTCAGTCCAGTGCTTGTACCTTCAAGGTTCAAGGTTCAAGGTTCTTCATTTGTCACATGCATAGTTATACAAGTATAACACACAGTGAAATGTAACCTGACACGCTCCTCGACATGAGCAAAAATGGGGGGGGGGGGGGCGGGGGGGTAGAAGAAGAACATTATATAGTATATACATTGGGTGAATGTGCAGTAGTAGCACCTGTACCTGACCATTTTCAGAGTAATGCTTTTTAGGGAACAAACATAATTGGCTCCCATTTCTTTAGTCGAATTGATGAAAAAACAAAAATAACACAGTTTGATAGACATAAAACAGTATTTTTGCAGCAGCAAGAGTCCAAAAATACAAAGAGCAATTAGCCAAAGGTATCTACAGCAGATGAACAGTATCTGAAAGTCCTTACCTTAAGAAGTATGGGGGGGAAATCCAGAAAAGACCTGACACAGGACTTGAGAGATGCATCTCGTCCTTCAGTTGATTATTCTACTGTTCACTGAAGCTTCATCAGAAATATTCCCAGCGGTTTGGATCAAGAAGAAGGGAAACAAGGGGAAGGGGCTGAGGTATACCAATTTACATAAATCTAGCCTGAAAGTTGCAACAGGTCTGATGGAGAGATGAATGTAAAATCTTTGGTTCAAGTATAAATATGTACAGAGGAGACTGGATATATGCCTCTGTCATGGTTTGGGGCTGAATTTCAGCCAGTGGCTTTCAGGATCTTGTTAGAGTTGATGGAACTATGAACACAGAAAAGGACCGTCAGATTTTGATCCACCATATGTTATGGTTTGGAAAAAGTGAGGCTGGCAAAAGCTTCATTTTTCAGCCTGACAATAACCCCAAACACACTGCCAGTAAAAACATACCTGGATAGAAAAACAGACAATGAAACACCATCAGTCATGGATTGGCCAGTCATGAATCGTATTGACGTAGAAGGGTGCAATAGAAATATTCAAAGAAGAGCTAAAATGTCCTTCAAGAAACTTGGAGAACTATTTCTGAAGACTACTTCAAGAAATCACAAGAAAGCTACCTGATAGAGTTAAGACTTTAGTGAAGAATAGTTGGTCTAACCAAATACTGACTTTCTGGTTTTGCCTTATATACTGTGTTTCCATGCATGGTTGAATATATAATCCAATAAAGCATTGCACCTATTTCCAGTTTTCCTAGCGAGATATAAAGGTTGAGGGGTTACTCAAGACATTTGCACAGAATTGTATTTAGAGGAATGTCACAACAGCAGGAAGGAATGCCAGTTTGTGTTAGTCAGAAAATGTCAAGGGACTGTTGTTGTTGTTATCCCCAAACAGTATTTGAAATAAACAACATCTAAAATGTGATTCAAGCCAAAATGAATCCAGCTCTGGATTATTTTAGCTTGAGTCTTTTCATTATTCAAAATAAGAGGAAATCCTTCAGAGACAGGAAGGTTTCCCTTTTGTGTAATAAAGATCCAAAATGTTATGCCAAAAACAATCTGGAATGTGGTAAACAATATAGGGGCACGCACTACCCGCATGACACACGTGTGACTACGGGGTCTTGGCGTGGCTGGAAGTTCATCATAGTACAGTCATGCAAACCCCAGGGAGCGATGGGCTTAGTTTAGCACCTACAGGGAGTTGTACAAACACGATAGTATCCAGGTTGCACTGTGGTAAATGCCTGCCTGGCACAACACAAGCCCCATTTGGCATACTCAGGCGTATTACACATCAGTTCAAAAAAGCTGTGCATGCCTTCCTATATATTGTTAATGACTAACGAATCAGAGAAAAGCAGCCAAAATATTCATAAACACAGGAAATTGTATTCAATCTAACAACAAAATCACTTGGGAGGCAATGGAGTCGAGGTCAGTGTAATATTGTTGATCATAGGAAGCTCGTCTCAGAGTGTTAACAATGACCAAACAAACAGAGGTGGGTCTGCAGTTGGACGCTTCGGATCAGGACAGCAACAAGTACAAGTGGGGCTTTCCTACAATCGAGTGGAGCTCCGGGGCCTGCTTCAAAACATGAAACAAGCGCTTCGAGCTGCCAGAATCCTTTTCAATACCCTGAGGTTTTTGCAAAGGAAAAAATTCCAATCGAGTATACCTTTGTTCCTTTGTTCATGTTCTCAAGTGTTCTTCTGGGAGCCCATAGGTGAACTGAGGGTGTTCTTTATCCAGGGTGTGACTGCAACCACAAAAGGTAGTTCCCATCTTAGACACATGTATAGATTATCAAAACAGCAAATTAACCCAGCCAGAAGAGGAATATGACAAAAGCATGTTAACAATACATTTCCCATGGAATGTCGGGTGATGCAAGAGATGTGTTTATGACTTTGCATCTCTCAAATCCTGAAGAAGCAATAAAATAAGTAAATAGAATATTAAATAGTATAAAGCATAAAACTAACACTGGGGTTAGATATACTAAATTGAATCATAGTGTTTACATTCATAGTTTTTCACTGATGGATTTCGACATATTGTGCTGTTTTAGGAGCGTCTTTTGGCATTCTCTAGTTTTTTCTTGATTAGCCGCCCAGAGACAATAGGACATTTATTTTAAATCATGTTCTTCTAAAGTGAATCTTAATCTTAATTGATTCATTTCAAAAGAACACAACTTGATTAAAAGATCACACCGAGCTGTTCTATCAGTACAGAGCTGCTTAATTCATTTCCGGGAACACCAGAGAGGCGTCACATGGAGTCTAGTGACACCTGGCGGTGTAGACAATACACTACACTACACAAAAGGCTAGTGGTAAGTGGAGTTACATGTGCTCTTAGCAGAGGGGTTATGCTATGAAGGAACCTTTGCACAGCCAGGTTTTCTTTGCCTAAACTGGCTCGACAAAACTTCGAAGTCCAGTTGGAGATACGGTATCACCGTTATGAACTTTCTCTGTTAAGAAAGACTTTCTGTTGCATTTTTTTTTTCATTGGGGCTGAAAAAGATTAATGCTGCCTAAAATACTTAATCTTTGGATTTACCGAGGGGTAAAATAAACAGTTTAATTCAAATTATGTTATTCTCAATGCTGTTGTTTATTTTAAGGAGATTGCTGCACATTGCAGCTCTGAAACTTCAAATTTATACATTCAAACATCGCTGTTAATATAGTTTAATAAAGGAGATGTGGAAACTGCTTCAATTTGTCGCCATATGAAGATGAAATTGATTTTACTGATTGAACAGGTGTTCTTTGTGTGTTCTGTATTAACAAAGAAAAAGAAAGAGAGGAGGATGGATGGAGGACAGCTGGAGTCTGGAATCTGGACGTACAGAGAATTACCACGGAGGAAATGAGGGCAGCTAAGAAGAGCTATGAGGATGAAGAGAGGAAAACTTGTTGGTACAGATGACAGAACTATAGAGGTATGGGAGATGTCTAGGAGAGAGGGCAGCTGGCTTTATAATGGAGTGAAGTGTGGTGCTGATTTTCAAGAACAAGGGTGATGTGCTGTAGGAATTACAAAGGGATAAAGTTGTTAAGGACTTTGCTGATAACAGAGGCTTGCAAAGAACACAACAGATGTGATGTTTGTTTAAGAGTGTTGATGGGGAAGTACAGGAGTTTGCTCCAAGTCAGGAGTTTCACTACAAATCTAGATATCAAAGATATTGTGACAAAGGAGGGATTGTGGTACTGTATGACAAAGTCAGGAGTGGCAGAGACATATTTGAGGGTGGTGCAGGCCATGTAAGAGAACAACAAGACACTAATGAGGTGTGTGGTAGGACTGAGAAATGGGTTCAAGGTGGGAGTGGGATTACTTGTCCACAAGTAAGGAGGAGAGTGCAACCACGGTGGTTTGGGTGGAAATAAATGTCAGGGCTGATATGTGACAAGGAAGATTTACAAGACGATGGATCATCTGCCTCGAGGCAGATGATGTTCTCCACAGCTTGTCCAGATGCTTTCACATCTTTCACAGGTGCTCAGGGTGTACCTGCTGTCATCTGTGAAAAGCACAGTGGTGCCAGTGGTGGATCTAACAATCCCACTATTCTATGGCAAATTCCAATCAGGCTCAGGCTCTTGAGACTGCACTGGAAGACACAGCGAACCTTCTGGAACATGTCATATTAATGTGTCATCCTGGAGGAGTTGGACTACCTGTGCAACCTTTGCAATTCCAAGTATCGCCTTATGCTACCAGTAGTTACAGATGAAGACGGTAAAGAAAAAAAATGTCAGTCACCTCCACTTGTCAAACCATTCCTGTTTTGGGCATTGTCTGTTTGTTGCTGCTCTAATGCATCTGCTTTGAATTTCATTAACACCAAAGCAGCTGAAACTGCTAGTCTGCTATTTAGCTGACCAGATGAGTATCACAGAGGTTTAATTGACTGTATGCATTTTTGAACAGTGTATAAGTAGGCTAGAGTGTAAGTGCCATCATATAAACCTATCTTCAATTAAACCACAACCCACAGGAGCTAAACAAACAAATAACCGAAATACGTGACTAATACGTGACTAATACGTGACTAAATTTAAGCCGTTGTACATCAATAAGGATAAATACCAATCAAGAGTATCAAAACAACAAACGAACCTTTGATTGGTGTATAAGCTGAGGACTTAACCAATCAGAATGCACCTCAACTAAAGGGAACCCACCGATTGGTTTGTTGTCACGCGTGCCCCGTGAACGTTGAATCCTGCTGTTTGGGGACGAGCAGTGCAGGCGGTGTTGTGACAAGGTGAGTTAGCTTTTCATTGTCGTATCCCTAAAACATTGTAATAACACGCTGTTTGTGTTTGTGTTCACACACACAGAGCGGGTCTTTAACGTGTGAGCAGCACAGTGTAACTATAACGGTAGCTACTTACGAAACACACGTACGTGCAGCGTCAGTTTTGTAACTGTTCCCTTCAGATGTCAGCTGTGGCTATCGGCCTCTGTCTGTGAAATATTTCTCCCAAAACTAAGGTTTTTAAGAAGATGCGTTAAAGGGATAACACAGTAATTCCTTCACCTGGCGCTTGATCAGCTAACAGGGAAATGTGGTGCATTAAAGGACACAAACTGCTTTTGCTGTCACGTTAGAAAGTGATATTGTAACCTTGTAAACAGGCTGTTTAACCGTAACCGTATTAGGCTACACAAGCATATATATTTTTTACTTTAAATAAATAATTTTAACTGGTGACAAGTTGTTTATTTTGATGATTTAAATCTTTTATTTTATTTCCTGCTCGTATTTGTTTGTCCTGTACATTTTTCTTTAAATATCTGCCTTTTCTTATTAAGGGCAAAATATAACCAGTATAATGGAAAACGAATTCCCACCAGAGCCCAACAGTGCCAAAAAAGGAAGGGCAATGATTGCTTTGGACGATGACAATGATGATGAAGTTCTCAGGTATGAAGAAAACAAAGTAAATAAGCAGCAATTTATCTTTGCTGCTATTTTGTCATTCAGATAAACGGCTAAGTGTTCTTTTGTGTTGCCCTTCCTGTCCGTTTCTGCTTCACCAAGTCCAACAGACCTGTCTGAGCTGTTGGCCGAGGGGACCAAGGAGGCCCACGACAGAGCAGAGAACTGCCAGTTTGTAAAAGATTTCCTCAGGGGACGCATTAAAAGAGAGCTGTTTAAGGTTTGATTTTTCACTATATAAAGGCAAGAATTAAGGCAGCTAAAGTTGTGAACCAGTGAAAGTAATGAACTACTGTACACAGGAGAGCGTCACACAAAGGTCTTCAGTTTGACCCTGTATATTGAAAGTGCTTAGAGACATAGGCCTACATTTGGTGTTGTCAGTGTGATAAAGTCTCGATCTATGCTTTGCCTTGGTTCTAAGGCATGATCAGAAAAATGCTGCCAAAGAAACTGGCAAAATGTGAGCTGTCTGGAACATCAGTTTATCAAATAAAATCATATTTCACCATTTAACTGTATATTATGTCTAACAGTTTCTGCTAGATGAAACACTTTATGTCTGACTCTGACCCACTTATTCTCCCCTCTTTCCTCCCTCTGCTGTCAGAGAGGCACAGCAGCTCTATATTTTGTCTACTCGGCTATTGAGGAGGAGATTGAGAAGAACAAAGACCATCATCATATCGCTCCAATCTATTTCCCCGTAGAGCTGCACCGGCGTGAGGCCCTGGCCCAGGACCTTGAGTATTTCTATGGAGAAGACTGGGAAAACCAGGTCAGTAGGAAGCATATGGAGGATAAATATGTCAGTCCCAGAGAATGCTGGTCTTTTCTGGCACTTAAGTTATGATTATACAGGTATCATCATCCCAAAAGCTGTATTTAATCAACTGGACTTTCACAGTTGTTCTCTCTCTTCAGATTAGCCTCTCTGCAGGCACCAAGCCTTATGTGGACCGCATCCATGAGGTGGGGGAGAAGGACCCAGTGTTGTTAGTGGCCCACTCCTACACCCGCTACATGGGTGATCTCTCAGGTGGACAGATCCTTAAGAAAGTGGCACAGAGGGCTTTAAAGCTCCCCTCAACAGGAGAAGGTCTCAATTTCTACCAGTTTGAGGGAATCCACAGTCACAAAGGCTTCAAGCAGCTTTACCGAAGCAGGATGAATGAGCTGGAACTGGACGCTGAGACCAAAGACAGGATTGTGGAAGAATCTAATCAGGCTTTTGGCTTCAACATGATGGTGAGGAAACTGCTTATAGGAATTATACAATGTACAGCAATTTGCAAAAAGGTGCATTGTTTGAAAGATAAATTTAAAGTTAATAAATATTTAATTTTATTATTTACAAAAAGGTATTCACAGAACTTGAAGAGCTTGGAAAGACTATCAAAGAGGAGGTCCAAGATGCAGGGTTTGGACACAGTCATGCAGAGATGATGGAGGGTGGAGATATCAACAAGTGTCCATATTATGCAGCTAAAATGGGTAAGAAATGCATCCCCTTTACTGTATTTATGAAATTTTGTTTCTTGCATTTCATTCTGCAGATAGAAAGTTAAAAATTTGGTGCTCAGTTTGATAATAGTTTATAGACTTGCCTTTAAAAGATTGGACAGTGTCATCATGGACTTCAGTTAAAAGGGATCCTTTTAACTGTGGGATGTCTGAGTGCAAAGTGTCAGACCATTCATAGCTACAAAGTTACATGAAGTACCTAATTCAATTATCCTGTTTTTTTCCCTCCTTTTTTCTGTGTTCTCATCTTCATGTCTCCTCTGAACAGCTGTTAGTGGAAATCCTACGCATGCGTGCCAGTTAGCCATGACACTTCTCAGACATCTGCCCTGCCAGGTGGTTCTGGCTGCCTGGATGGCCGCCCTGGCTGGGTTTACTGCCTGGTACTTTATGTGACACAGCTTTCTACTTCAGAAACAGCTTATGTCGGTGAAAGAGCTTTTGCAGTGATGCAGTTGTTTGAAAAGCTATTTTATGATGCATGCACTTTGAGTTAAGCGACACTTTATGGATGTAGAAATATTAAATGCATACTCTTCTGTTATGTTATTAAAATGTTTTTGAACAGTTTTAGTGTTAAGGACTCTTATGAGAGTTGAACACTTGAGGCAAAGTAACCAACCAAGAGAGGACCTTGGTCAGGGAGGACTGTAAATATGCAATAGATTCTAAAAACATGTTTCCACTTTGTTATGGTGGAGTTTTTATTGTATACATTTAAAGATAAATACAGTAAGGTGTGCAAAGACAAAGGAAGAAAAATCTGTTTGAATTCCTTCTGAAGCAACTCAACATTAAAATATTTTGTGAACTAATTCTGTTCTTTGACTTTTTATTGGTCAATTGAAATGTTTAAAGATTTTTTTCTTTCTAATATAAATCGTTTCTTCAACATTTGCATCTGCTATGTTAAAATTCACCAATACTTTGTATGGATCAATTTCAAATCATGTTCTGTGACATGAAAAACATGAAGGAAGAGAAACAAACAAATGTATAAAAGCAAGAGAAAGCCAACAATCCACCCCAGAGGCACATACTGATGAGTCAGATTAAACTGAGTGAGTGCTTATAAATCACGTATTGCGAGTGTTTCTATTGAGTTGATAGGATTGCTGCTCATGTGTAGAATTCACTGGAAACATCTCTGCAGAGTTTTAGGCTGAGAAAGTTCTTACAAATGAGTGTAACTGAAGACATTTGGATTTGAAGTGGACACAAATTTTAATGTTCATGTTTTTTTTACCTGAAACACCTGTTGTCAAAACGATCTCTACACACTTAACAGCTTTTGTGGAGCGTTCACTAACTGTGTATCAGGTGCACAAGAAGCCTTCATTAAGCAGGATGTAACTAAGCTTTGAGCTCAATCGTCATGGTCAAACTGACGGGAATGTTTTTGGAGTTTTGAAGGTTTTTGATGCAAAAAGATCCCTAAAGTTCAAACAATTCATTTTGCACACACCATGAATTTTTAAACCGTTTTTGGAAATTTGTTTCCCCCTTACACAATGAGAAATGAATTCAGCATATGCATTATTTCAGTTTTCATTAAAGATCTTGAGTTCTTGCAAGCACGAGACACACTTCTCCAAACTTTTCTGAAGTCAGCGATTTTAAAGGATTGCATTTTTGTCATTTCATTTCACCCTGAGACTGAAGCAGATTGGTCTGCTTTTCACCAATATCCATTTACTTTGTCTACATTTAGTCCTTCTGAAACACAAAACATGTCGTGTTTTTCATCCACCATCACATTCACCAGACAAACCGTGCCTCTCTTCTGCTCTGTTCTAATATTATGAATACAATCGTTATCCAAATGATTTGCAAATTTCATGATTGTTTAATTTTTGTCACAGTACAAAAAATAATCCAATCAATCTGGAACTGTCAAGATATGTCAGTCTGGACCGAAGTGGTTAACCAACGTTACATTCACAGACCTCCACATGTGGCTAGCTCTGCTAACGCTGCAATTTTGAACTTCTAGACAAACTAAAATCGGTCCAGGTCCATAATAACAGCGTGAAAGCTGTTCTTTCATGAGACACGTAGAGTCACATGTTTTTTGTTTTGTCTTTTTCAAAGAGGAAATAAAAAGCTTTGTGAAGCTGTGGCCATATGTGGCAATATGTCCATGATACATGTTTGTGCAGTGCTTTTCTACTGTTTCTGAGAACTCGGAAAACATTTATAAAAGCTCTTTATCTATGATACACACGCCTTCATATTTGCAAATCACTTTGACATGAGCCAAGAAACCTGGATCAAATCACCAGCTGGTAGTTAACCTGCTCTACTTCTATTTCTGGATGTCAGAAAACATCTTAACCAAGATAGAACTGAAAACTCACAGGTTCTTAAAAACTCAGCAAGAGAAACTGGTCCCAAAGTGACATTTCTTTGAACCAAACCTGAGGCAAAATGTGTGAATAATTCCCTGTTTCTACAGCCAGGATGCCCCAACCCTAGCCCAGTCAAAAACAATGTTGAAGAATACTTTCTTTAATGCATTTTACACAATAACAGAGTTTTTAGGTTTACACTTTAACCTAACACACAAAAAAAATCAACATCAGGAGGGGACAAATTCTTTGGAGCTTGCAGCAAAAAGGACATGTGGTGTCTGACCTGTGGAGCTATCCTATCATGGTCTGATGATGCAACATGACTATTCGGACACTGTTAGGCCAATCTCACCTGATCTTTTATTTCAGCTGCATACATAGTCACCATTTAGTAAACAACTGTTAACCTACCACAGTCCAGATTTTTTTTTTTTTTAATGCAATCTTAGTTCTCAACCTTAATTAAGATTAAAAAAATAATAATAATAATAAACCAGTAATTTATCAACTGTGGATGATTCAGATCTATGTCAGCTAAAATATCTTAGATATAAAATATAACAGCAAGCGTCCTCCACTGTATAATGTGTTTTCATTTAGAATATTGTTCATGGACAATAGATGCATCTCTTAATATGTTATGTTTTCATAATACTATTCAGAATACCTCACATTTTTTTTCTAAACAAATAATCATTTTAAACTTCCAAACACCTTTTTAAAAGCTTGTTCATCCACCACACGTCCAAAATGAGTAGAGAAATACAGAGTCTCCTGACTGCTGTATCTCTTAAATTTCAGTATGGTCTCATTTACAGAGTCCCCTGTGTCTCCAATGGTCATGACATCTGACACCGGCAGGTACATATCGTGGCGCTTTCCCCAGAAAGTGAGGTGGGACACTTTGAGGGTGGTCTGAGACGGATCCAGATACATCATTCCCACCACCCTTCTGAAGAAGTAACTGGCAGTATACAGCATAGCACCAGCAAACAGAGCTATCCCTGTCGTGTAGCTGACAAGAAAGGTGGAGGCAGCTCCCTGAAAGTAGAGGACGTACACCGGGGGCAAGATGACCACAGTTATTGCAGTTTGGAGGAGTTTGAGCCTGGACACAGCTCTAAGGAGCTTAATGTATGGCAGGGTGTAAATCATAGTGTACTTCTCTGTGGACACATCCGAGTATTTAACAAAGGCTGTGATTTTGGGGATAACAGGTCCATGTAGGTGTTGCTGAATTGGCCTGAGACTTGGTGAACAAGGCTGCAAACTGGAAGGTGTTCGAGCTGCGGGCAGACTTGATCCTCTGGTGAAGGACAGGACGTGGGGAGTTAATCTGCACCGGAGAAGTGACCTGATCTGTAGAAAGATAAATGACATCAAACAGATAAATTCAACATGATATGTTTGGAGACAAAACTGTTATTATGTTGATGATATAGAATATAGAATATTTGATTAGCTAACATCTATGAGAACAAACTGACTACACCACTTAATAAAATAACTCCTGGATCAGCCAACTGATGCATCAAAAATTAACTTTAAAATAAAACCAAGACAAAACGTACACAAACACCTTAGACTAGATCCCCGTTAACAAAATAAGTTTAAAAAAACTGCAAATTCTCTGTCAGTATTTCCTAACATAGTTCATCAATACTGTACATATGGTCTTTAACAATAAAGCTGGCTTTGATCTTGCAAACCTTCCCCGTCACTCTTGCTGCTATCCTCCCGTCATATATCACCTCTGGCCTTCATCTCCACCCACTCCACCCTGTCTGTACTCTCTACTTCACTTATTTTGTGCACTGTACGTTGTTATTGCAGTAATATACAAAATATAATATTGTGCAGTTGCTTAAAAAAATACAAGTGGTATACCCAGACGAACACTTGCAGTATATGTACAGCAGCTGTTGTGTAGCCGCTGTGTGGAATAAAACAACCTGAAGGTGCACATGTCTTGACTGAGCTGTCACCAATGACTGTAGAAAACACACAGCCCTGGCACAGCACTAATGACCTTCTGTGGCTAAAAATTTATCTTACTGATAATAAAAGTCAATGCTGGATAAGAGTTTGGATATAAAACGAGGCTTACCATGATCAGAGACCGGCTAAATGAAAGAAAAATGCAAAAACAAGAAAGATGGATCACCAAATGATATGAATGGGAGCTAACAGGAAGCAGTTATGCGGTGCAACCCGGATGTGCTCACCTTTAACGTCTCGGGGGTTTTTTGTTAATGTTTAATTAACTTTTTTTTTATGTTGTTCCGAGACATCCTGTGAGAAAGCTGTCAATCATCGCTCTGTGACAGCTCAGTAAGAATAATAATTACAATTTTATTATAATTTTGAATACATCAAATTCATTTTGAGGATGTTAGCTTAAATGCGGAAGCATCCACCGGGAAGCGTAAATCAGCAGTTCTCTTCGAGTCACGGGGACTGTCTCTCGGTAATGAGTGTTTTATCGCCGGGCAAAACATGTTCTTATCTCATTTAGGTCGTTTAAAGAAACTAAAATTAGGACAGTAAACGTCCCACACCTTAAATGCGGAACATTTCCTGCCAGGTGCTATCTTCAGCTGTGGGACAGGTGGAGAAGACAAAAAGAGGACAACGATGCTCCAGCTAGGAGATGAAGCCACGCTGTACTCCCTTATCTTCGTGGGGATCCTGCTGGGGACCCGAAGCCCGGTGTGGACAGTGATCATCACCGCCTCCCTCTATCTCTTTCTAGCAATGTTCCGCTTCCCACAGGTACCGTCCAGCCGAACCCAGAAGGTACTCCACCCAGTCAAGGGCACGGCGGGCACGGGCAAGGTGTCGGTGATCGCTCACCGGGGCGGCGGGCACGATGCACCGGAGAACACGATAGCATCTATCTTAGAGGTGAGAGAATGAGGTGAGGAGGGTTTTGGAGCGATTATCCTTCATTTGCCCTTTTTTGTTATGGCCGTGGTTGCAAGGGGAACTACTGCGACGTCTTTAACTTCTGGTATTCACGCCCAGTTTGTATCTGGACAACTTACCAGCACAGAGAACATGCATTTTAAGGCCACCACTCTTCCAGCAGCACCTTGTATCACAATGTTATCAGCCAGTTCCCAACTAGCCAGCCTCGTTTAACTAATCTGCATGTTGAGATAAAGTAAAGATGTGTGAGTAATAATTAATCTAATAGCATCTGGATATGAGTAGTCCCATGTATTGGTTTTAATTTATACAAATAAAGATACCGATACAGACCACATGCTTATATCAGGTGTATATGAGGTGCGAGTGTTCTGAGCCAGAAATTTGCAAGTCAAAAATACACCTGCTAGTGCTTTTTAGTGTACAGACTTTGTTGCAATGGTGTACACTTTCGAAGAGTATTTCTTAACTGTGATATACCCCCATTTATAGGTCAACACATAGAGAACAGATATACTCAGTTTGCTAGTCAAGTAAAATTTTCTTCAGATGGATCATGGCTTTATGGCTAATTTTGTTGTATAGTAGTTGCAAATTAAGCTGCAAAGTTCATAAGGAAGGTAGGAATGACTTTTGGGTTTTAGGGCAGATTTGTGATCACCAACTCCATCTGAAAAAACATCAAGTGCAGACAAAAATTGTCTGTTCTGTTGTAGGCCAGTAAGAATGGGGCGACTGGTGTGGAATTGGACCTGGAGTTCTCAGCAGATGGCGTCCCAATACTGATGCATGATGAGACCGTGGACCGAACCACCAGTGGGTCAGGATTCCTCAGCAAGATGAAAATGTCAGAGCTGGCTAAACTGGATGCAGCTGCTAAACATCGACTCAGGTAAGAAAGAAGCGTATAGTCAGGAAGGCACAAACAAAGCACACGGTAGTGAGGTGCTTTAATGTGATACAGGTTCTTCCACACTAATATACTAGCAGGTTTAAACATCCACTGAAATAAGGTAATTTTCCCCTCGAAGGGAGGACGTATGTAATCCGCTCAGTTTGTTTGTTTGTTAGCAGTCTAGCGTACACAGAAGCCACAACACAAGATTTAATTTTTAATTTTATTTTGATCAATTTGAGGTTACAAGGTTACACCAAATGTGAAATTCAGTAAAAACTTTGTTATCCACAATTTATAATCTGTCTTTAAACTTTAAAGCAATATACAAGGCATTGTTAGAAATGAGTACCTAGGTGGTCGAGCATTTCACCTTGGCCTTCACTGCGCATGGAGAGAGCTGTACAACACAGTTTTTTTTTTCAATGTGACGCCATATGATGTCACAATGACGGCATAAAGTTTTGCAAAATCACACACTGGATGATTATATCTTATCTTAAAGTTGTTACAGCTTATCAATGCCAAAGCTTTCAGCCAGTTCTGCTCCAATCATATGGGTAAAGATAACAAAATACACAGATTCTAGTGTGTAATGTTTCAAGGTCAAAAGTCAGGGTCACACAAATAAGAAAATATTTCAGTTTCTACTGGATCATATCCAACGTTTAAAGTAATATATTAGTCACTGGGGGGCGTATGCATTTTTTAAACTTTAACTTAAATGACTTTACAATAACACAGAAATATAAAAATTATATACTACCATATTAACAATGCTCACTATTCCAACCAATTTGTGCACTGTACCACTGGCAGCAAAACACCCCCGGAGCATGATGCTACCTACCACCATGCTTGACAGATAGTACAGTGTTCTTAGGTTTGAAAGCTTCTCCGTCACTCCTACAAACACATCTCTTGGCATTGTAACCAAAGAGCTCAATCTTTGTCTAATCAGACCATAAAACTTTTGTTTTGAAGGCTTTTGGTTTATCCATGTGGACAGCTGCAAATTGCAGTTGAGCTTGAAGGTGTCAATTTTGGAGCAGTGTCTTCTTTCTTAGTCAGCTCCCTCTCAGTCTATGCTTCACTGTGACACTGGTATTCCAGCAGTTTCCAGTTCATGACAGGTTTGAGCCTCAGTGGTTCCTGGGTTATTTCCTCTCATCTAAGATGGACTGTGTGTGTCTTTGTCCAGACCTTGGCAAAGTGGTTACACATCTGAATAATTCATGCTTATGTATAAGCGTTTTAAACGAATAATTTCAGACTCTTAACAAGAAGTTCATAGGTTTTTGCTTACACAAACCCCAAATTAACCCATTTACACACATGTTCAAATAATACTTTCTCTATGACAGTTTGATTGTGCTGTGTTAGATAAACACTATTTTGCCCGAGGACGGCATGTAGATTGGATGTGCCAAGGATCAAATATCTAACTGAAAGATATAGCCCAGGGAAATATCGGAGCAGGTAAACGGCGGAGAACCGGAAACTTATGCTAGATAAGAGTGAACGAGTATATAAGTGACTTTGGCAAACTGTGTAGTGAGACGTATGAAAGATCACTGGCACAATATAAAAAGAAATCCAGTTAAAACGAGCCTTACTTGTTTTATTTCCACCAGGGACAAGTTTGCAGGAGAGAAGATCCCCACCCTGGAGGAGGCAGTGGAGGAATGCATCAAACTGCAGCTAACCATCTACTTTGATGTCAAAGGTCATCCAGATGAGGTAACGCCAACAAAACTGCCTGCATAACTGAGAGATTGCACATCATCATCATCGTCACAGTTTGCCCGTGTTGATTTTAGTGATGGCTTGATACAAACTGATCACAAGTCTGCCATTTCTACTTTTTTATTCATTACCAATAGAATGGCACTATAATACATGTCACCACTCTATTAGTTACACAAAACTAATCATTAAAATTAGTTGTGGCAAGCCAGAGTCATACCGGGGAATATCCAGAGAAGAGAAACACTACTAACGCTGACGCACTTTAAGACGTCCAGAACACATGTTCCAGGTTTGTCTGTACTCAAACAAATAACAAACCCCTAAAACGCACACGGACACACACACACACACAGCTTCTCACAGATTGAGGACAGCACCACTGATAAGCAATGTTTTGTTTGTGTGGTAACATTGTGCATGCTGTTAGACGTTCCTTGTTTGTTTGCTCTTTAACAACCAAATGTAACTTTGTTTGTGTTGGCAACATAAAAACTGAGCCAGGGGCAGTAGTCTCTTAGCTTAAAGTTAGGGTATTCACTCAACTCCTTAAGTGCAGCATTTGCACGTTTTTAAGGAAGGGAAAGCTGCAGTTGTGGTTGGAGGCTCACGTACTGACATTTATGATTTGCGGGCCCGTATGCCTGTGCATACACAGCTGCTAGTTACCACCTAGTGGTCGGAGAGGAACACCCACAAGCAAAAACATTAAATCTGCAAACAGCTGAATGACCTACGATAACCATTTGTTTCTTCTTCCTACTCAGGCAGCCGCAGCTCTAAAGGAATTGTATAAGAAATATCCGGTCCTCTACAACAGCAGCATTGTCTGCTCCTTCGAGCCCAAAGTCATCTACAGGGTAAGACGGCTCATATCTGAAGAGTTTAAAGCTTAGTTCATGTCAGTAAACACACTATTTTTTCAGGGGGGATTTTTCTCTGTGGTTTTCTTCATACGATCTAGTCCAACTAGAGGAAAATTACAATTTAGAAGAAAATACACCGAGGTAAACTAATATGTAGTATAAAGAATCAAATTCCAGACATGAAGAGTTTCTGGTGACTGTCAGGTCACGTAGCACCGTTTGTTCCCAAAGGGGTAATTTCAACGCTGCAATTACACACCCTTAAAAAGTACAAAAGATAAAGATGCACAAAGTTCAGACAGTTTGGCTGCACACAGTGAAACAAAAAAAACACAAGAAGAAATGTAGAAACAAGTTTGTGTGGGTCAGCTTATCTTATTTATCCTACATTAATTAACTTCTGCTATAAACTAGAAGTTCAAAGTTCTCTATGCATGATTATGAACCCTGACCACTTTCAGAACTTTTTTTTTATTTTATTTTTTTTTAACTTGCAGCACATTGGCAACGTGGTTAACGCTGTTGCCTCATAGTATGAAGGTCCTGGGTCCAAATCAAGCATTTGGCCCGGGCCTTTCTGTGTGGAGTTGGCATTTTCTTCCCATGTCTCTGTGGGTTCTCTCTGAGTACTCTGGCTTCCTACCATAGTTTTTGGGGTAGGTTAATTGCTGATTCTAAATTGGCCGTAGGTGTGGATGTAAGTATTCCTCTGTGTTAGCAGTGCGACAGGCTGGAGACCTGTCCAGGGTGTGCAGGGTGGCAGCCGTTACAGGCTCCAGCC